CCACGAGTGGATAACGTTTAACGTTTGAGCATCACGCAAATAAAATCTTTAACTCGAAGAAACACGCGTGTTGTTTCTAATATTTGAATTTCGCGCCGACAACACGCAGAGAGGACAGAAATGAAATCGAGAAGAAATTTTTGCGCTTTCTTTCCCTCTCTTTCTTTCTTTTTTCGTTCTATCTCTCTCTTTATCTATCTTTGCTCTCCTACTTTTTCGTCTTTTTCGTCTTTTTCGACAAGTATCTTCGAAAACACTCGAACTTTGTACGAGCAACGGTATCGAATGTAAGAAAAGACAGAGATAGAGATAAAGCAAGCTTACGTGTGTGTGTGTTTGTATGTGTGTGTGTAAAAGAAAAAGAGAGAGAGAGAGACTCTCTAAAAATACATTTCTCAAGAAATCTGGGGAATATTTCTCTGCAAAGTTTTGACCGATTATCAAAGCAATTTGCATAGCGAATAATCACAAGTCAGTCTCTTCTCTAAGTTTATTTGTACGACTCTTTGAAAAACTTTCTGTCAACTCTTTAAATTAACTAGCGCCAACTTTTTTTATTTTTCAACTTCCACACGAGTAACTTTCCTTTAAATTTATCGAAAGTTAAAAAGAAAAATGTTGCATATAGATATTTTCCAATATCATCTATGAAAATAACGAAAATAATCGGAATTAATTTGTGTATTCATTTTTTTTTTTTTGTAAAACCTTTCTACATTTATTATTTGTCTTTTATATTTCTCTTATTTTCTTATTTTCTTGATGCGTTATTGCTTAGTTAGAGACACTCCAGAACACACGCGAGATCTCTTGGAGAAGCCGGCTTGGCTTCTCCAAGGAGGAGGAGGAGGAGGAGGAGGAGGCCTGGCTGACAACGTTACGTTCAAGTGTTTGACGAACGAACGAACGAACGAACGAACGAACGAACGAACGAAAGAACGAACGAACGAATGAACGAACGAACGAATGTACGAACGAATGAACGAATGTACGAACGAAAGAACGAAAGCGTTACGTCGCCGAGTTTTTTGTTTCCTCCTTCTGGCATCGGCATCAGCGGCGAGTTATGTCAAGTGGGTGCCTCGCTCTCACGGATCAGACTCTCTATCTATCTATATTTCTTTCTCTCTTTCTCACTCACTCACTCTCACTAACTAATTCACTCTTAACGAATGCCAACCTTTAACGTCAAGTATATTTCTAAAAAAAAATGAAATTACCGGAAAGAGAAAGAAAATGGGTATAAAAAAAAAGGAAAAAAAAAACAACAGAACACAAAAAATACAGAGTCAATATATATATTATAATAGATAAAAATAAATATTTTCGATATGAATAAGTTTATACAACGATCTATAGATCAACATAATATTATTATGAATATGCTTATGCAATTTCAAGTTTCTTCATCTCGCAATGTAATACAAAATGAAAAAAAAACAAGGATGATGGAAGGTAAACAAGAAATTATGTTTGTTTAAAAAAGGAAAAAAAGGAATAAAAGAAACAGTAAAAAAACAGTATATTACTTAAAAATTAGTAAAGTGATATATCAAACAGTTTGATATGAATAAATTTATCCAAGATCTTTGGGTCTACGCATATATATATTTTATAATTTTGATTCAGTTTCTTCCTCTTCTATTAATAAAAGCAAAAAGAAAGGAAACAAAAATAAAAATACAAACAAAAACCAAAAAAGGTAAACAAGGAAAAATGAATTAAAAAAATGGTGACGTCAGGGGAAGGGGGAAGGGGGAAGGGAGAAGGGGGAAGGGTTTATGTCAAAAAAAAGGTAACTCCACGTGTTGAGTGAGACACGTTTTGGTGATACACTCTCCAAGAGAATTCTCGAATTCACGTAGTTAGTCGCGGAGTCAACCGGTTTCTCGTTTAAATCGCATTAAAATCGTCGCGGAATGGAAAGTGGTGTTATACCGCGGTGTTTCTCGTGATTTTATTTCCCCTACGTTTGTACGTACTTACGTAGGTGCAAGCAGTGGAACGCAATGGGTAAGCGTGCGCGCTCGCGTTTACTCGTAATACACGTTTAAACCCACACCTATGTATATACCAATGAAAATGTACCTACCTTCGTACCTATATATAATATATATATATATATATATATATATACATATCGTCGTGTACGTGTCTCGCCTTGCGATTCTACGGGAAAAAGAAGTATATAACCACCAATGGGAGAAGAGGCACGTTCGTTCGCGCTCGACTTTAACGTCCGGCAATTAATTTACGCGAATCGCCTTCGTGTTCTGCTATCTTCATGTACCAATTATCCCATGAAAGAGTGAAAAAGATGGAAAGAAAAAGAGATACAAGAAAAAAAAGGCAAAGAAAAAAAAAAGAAAGAGAGAGTAAAGTAGTCTAGGGTATCTCTCTCTCTTTTCTCTTTCCCTATTCCATAACGCTCCCTCCCCCCTCTCCCTCTTTTCCCCATCTCTCTATACCTCTCTGACTCTTTTCCCTTAGCATTTCCTTTAGCGTTAGGTAGCAGCTAACACCTTGGTCTCATCAGCGTCAAAGCGTGACATGCGCCCATTACGACTACACTTCTTCGTATTCGCGTACTCTCTCATACATACCATTTATAAAACACGCTCGTGACCACGCGTTCTTATCGATGGCGTGTATATATACACCCCGTCGAATTGAATTAACGGTGGCAAAGAATAGAATTAAAGAAAAAAAGTAGAAGAAGAAAAAAAAAGAAACAGTTAGAGGGAAAAAATAAAGAGGGATAGAACAAACGAACTAACTGAAGAATTTGGTAAATTCTTTATTCGCGTTGTTCGTTTTTATCAAACAAACTCGTCCACAACAGGAGAGAGAATCCAGGGCAAACGTTTGTGGAATTTCGAGTAGTGGATTCTTTCGAAAGGTGAATTTCTTTTCCTTTGGTTATTTTTTGTTCGTTTCTGCTTTTTTTTTATTCTCCGTCCCATCTTTTTTCCGAGCTTTCCCTGAGAGACTTTTTTGGTGCCAAAAACAAAGCCTTCTACCGTCAGGGTTATTGCAGACAAGTTTAAATGAAGCGAACGCATTCCCTTTTTGGAAAGTTTTCATCTCCCATTTCTTTAACGAAATTCTTCGTAAAAGAAGAGAAGAAGCTTTTCTTCTTATCCTTTTTTTTATTCAATTTTTTTTCTGTTTTTATCTTTGTTTTTGTTTCCTCTCTTTCTCTCTCTCTCTCTTTCTTTCTTTCTATCCCTTCTAACGATGAGATACGGATAAGAGGGAAGATGGATGGACATGTTTCGCGTAGAGACGTTCGTTTCTTGGAACGTGGTACTTAATATTTCGTTGCTCAGACATCCGAACGGTCCATTAGATTCCAAACAAAGACGGATGCACGTCGAAGGATTTCTTCCATTTCTTTCTTTATTTATTTCTTTATTTCTTTCTTATTTTCTTTATCTAAACGATCGTATTCCTATCCAGTTTGATGAAACGTACGTGAGTACGTAATGAAACGAAGAAGAAGAAGAAGAAAAAGAGAGGATAAAGATAATATTTTGCACAGATCGAATTCGAATACTTGCTCGGTACGATTCGAGTATACGCATTTTTTTAAACGTATTACATAGAGTAATACACACGTGCAAAGAGGGTGATAATGTATTCAAGGTCCGCCCCATAAGTCTCGATGGTGGGGTGTAACAGCCCAGTCCGGATCGTACCTTAGACTACTTCGTTCTAACAGACGTTAATTATTCCTTCTGTGTATAAACCTCCTGCGAAAAATAGTCACGATCTCGAATTCTACTTTGAAACCTGTCGTATATGTCTTTTCTATCTCCTATTACAAACTTGGTTCAACGTATCAGCTAAGTTATTTCAAATAAATACTTTTAACTAATGTAGAAAATTTGATTTAATTATTTTTTCAATTAAAATACATTCGTTTAATTATAATTATATCGGTAATTATGATAATTGGTTTAGTTAAATAATATTCGATTATTTCTAATCGTAAATTAATTGTTAAATGAATTTTTTAAGCCAATTCTTGATATAGTTCACTGTCGTAATTGCAGACGTATTATACACAGTTATATAGATACGTATGTATATTTGTTTCGAAATCAAAACTAATAAGAAAATTATTTTTATTTTTCAACGTATTAAAATTCCAATGAGTATTTCTCATCTGAAAGGCAAAGACAGGAGGCTATAAATGGACAGTTAGTATTAAAAGTCATAGATTCTTTCGATTGATGGAACGTTAATATTTATCACGCTTTCTCATTTCTTACTTCTTTATTTCTATATTTCTTTTTCTTCTTCTCTTTCTTCTTCTTCTTCATCATCATCTTTAGTACTTCCTTCGAACGAGTTCCCGATGTAGACGTTTTAATGAAACTTTTGTAAACGACATTCCGATGACCGCGAAAACGATCAACGTTTTTAACGTAGAAGAATTTTCTTTTTATCTTATATTGAAAGATGATATTCTATAAATCGATCAAATAAGAATCGAATAACTAATCGAACTAACATATAAGAGAGAATTTTATTTGAACGATCCTTGGAAAGCAGGTCACGAGTAAAACAAGCTTCTCGAGCTAGCAAAGAGAAATATAGGCCGAGAGCTCTTCCTCGCTAATTCAATCAAATCTACGTCATTACTAAGCCTCCTCGAACGCGTAACACTATGCGAGCAACACCTATGTTAAAACATATGTGCATCTACATATGCATATTGCAGATAATAAATGTAATAGAATACTCGTAAAGAGATCGAAGTCTAGTCCAATGTAAGAAAAATTAATGTTACTTGCAAACAGCATGACTGTTAGGTGAATTAAGTGTGTGTATGTACCTGCATATGTATTTATGTATGCATGTGTGTGTATGAGAGAGAAAGAAAGAGAGAGAAAGAGAGAAAAAAAGGAAAGAGAGCGCCAAGCCAATCTTTTTCTCTTCCAATCGTAAAACATGACGTCAGTGTCGTATCTGTGCAATTTTTTTTATTTTTACAGGATGATACATCAGTGAAATATAGACAGGGAAGAGGGAGGAGAGGGTTCTTGGCGAGGTTCGAGATGTCCGCCGTTACCAGCCCGTATGGACCCAGTAAGTCGTTTTTCTTTTATATTTTTTTGGTTTTTTATCTTTTTCATATTGCGGAAAAAAGTGTATTCTGTAGTAATATTCATCGTATAACTTACGCGATCAAAACAAATAAGAAAAGGAATTCTTCACCTTTTTTTCTTTTTTTTCCCGAACAGTTGTAATGTCTTTTTTTTTCTTTCTTAATGAAACAATCACGTCAGTAATAAATACTGAATGAAACGATTAACGATAGAAGGAGTAAAGAAGGGTGGGGAAATAAATAGAAAAAAAAGAAGAAAAAAAGAAACACGTGCATCGAAATAGTTTGTAATATTAAATTAATATTTAATAAAGAATATAATTGGTATGAGAATGTAGGTATAGAAATATATAGGTATAGGAATATATAGATATAAAGAATATACATTAATTAATAAAGGAAATATTCTAAAATATATATATATATGCCTATAATTATGAAATTTAAAGTCTAAGTCAAAATTAAAAGTAAATGTGTTTAACAGCTACTTCACACCTCATCATTTTAAACTAAATTAATTTAATGTAATTATTGTCAAAAAATGAATTATTCGATAGTACTTGTTATTTCAACACATTATACGGAATTCATTTAGTGTTAAAATGTAATTCTTTAAATGTCTCGAAAAAAAAGATATATGACTTGGACCACTTTCATAATTATGGACACATATATCTATAAATATATATATCTACAAAATATTAATATTTGTTACAAATTTAGCGGAGATGCTGTCCGATTCGGTCTACAACTACGCAACGACTCGAAGAGGTACCGCCGATCAAGACGGCGAGTCCCGATACGAGACGCAAGCCCAGTTGCAGATATCCAGCATACAAAAACCACGCAACAAACGGAAAAATTTCAAACCCATAAACAGTCGAATGGCCGAAGTTTCGGACGAATCGGATAGGGATGAGGAACACGAACAAGAATCCGACGAATTAATACTCGGCGTCGAGGATACACCAAGCAACAACGAGATCTTAGAATACGAAAGGAAAACTATGCTTTTACCGGCTGCCGTATCTAACGACGAAAGGTCGAAGCAACAGAGGCTGAACAACAACGAGGTCAGCCCGATGGACCTCTCGGTCGCTACGAGGCCACCCTCCTCCGACGTCGATGACGACAGCGGCGATTCCCTCGGGCACAAGTTCATCCTCGAACGGCTAAGCTCTCAGAAACTTTATTCCCCGGGCACGGAGGCAAGTACATTTTTTATACCTTTAATGAAATCCTTTGATTTATCTTTTTTTTTCGTATATATATTAAAAAGTAATACTTATATATAAGCATATATATATTAGGGTGGGTCAAAAAAATGACTTTTTTTTTCAAGTGCCACGGAAAAATGGGTTGCTAGACACCTTAAAACAATTCTCACCAAATATGAGCTCTTAATTTTAATAGGAAGATCTTCCGTATCGCAGTTTTTTATTTTTTTTTTTCAGTCATTTTATAGATTAAAATTTATACCTCATTATTTATTGATTGTACAGAAAAATGTTCTAGACGAATTTCGTAGAAAATTGAATGCTCTCCAAAAAAGGTATCTTATATTTTTTCCGTAAACCTCACCATTTGAATGATATTGAAGATTTAAATTTGATGATTTTTAGACAAATTTCATTTTTGTTTATGAATTTTATAACTCGACAAAAAATGATTATTAAAAAATGCGCAATACAAATTTTTGTAGGAAATTAACTGCTCTATAAAAATGGTGTCTTATGTTTTGGCGATTAAATTAAGCGTTCAAAAGATATTCATCATCAAACTTTCATGTGTACTGATTTTTGTCTTTGAATATCTTTTGAACGCTAATATATATACTTAGAAAATTCAATAAGCTTACAATTAGACCAATTCAAATTTTACATTTTGGGATATTATTTCTCGTATTATTCAAAGTCAATATAAATCTAAATTATTTGATAAATGTTTAAAAATTAATCACATTATGACCTGTAATCTTTATGATGACATTTGGAAATTTAATAGGACATACTTTTTGAATATAAGACATATTATTTTCTTATGTCAAGTATAACAAAATTCGAAATATAAAATATCTGATATTTTATTTCATATATTAAATGCTAACAAATATACTCATTTAATACAATAACATTTGTCTACCTATTGATTGTTTGAGAGGATAAATTACTTTCCTTTTTTTCCGATCAATAGGTCAGGAGTCCAACTTCGGATTCCTCGGAGAAAAGTGTCGGAAGTATAGTCCTAGATGCCGATTCGGGACGATTGGATGATCAGGAATTAGCGTTCGATGACGATCGTATGCAAGACGGTGATGCCGATATGGATGGTGATGATGATGGTGACAATGACGTTGAAACGGAATGCGAGAATGAGAGAAAACCATTCGAAGGAATGAGAGAGTACGCCGAATCGACAATGCAAGAACTTTTAGCGATTTATGGTCTTGCGGGTAGTGAACTCGCGAAATCGGTCAGTCGACAACTACCACCAACCTTCATGAACCCAAATATCGGTCAACATGGTCAAGGTAAGTCATTTGATTTAATTTAATTATTAAGAAAAAAATCTGCCCAACTTTTTGGTCTTATATTATTTAATTTTCGGTTCAAACTTTAGCTCGTGTTTTCTTTAGAAAGAATAAGAGTGAGAGAAAAAGAGAGAGGAGGGGAGTAAGAGAATCATTTTATTAGCGAGTGGGCGTCACTCGAGAAAAAAAGTGTTTCGTGTTCGCAAACTCGTGAACTCACCGTTATATTCTCATTCTCTTTCTCTCTTTCTCTTTTTCTTTCACACTCATATTCGTTCTCGGTGAGAAAAAGCTATTATTTCGATCACACCGGTGGCGGCTAGGCCTTTGTCGGTAATTAGAACCACTTGAACCAGAGTATTCGACGAAATTGTTAGCTCGACTGGACCAGATTGGCATTGGCTGCCATTCAATTTAGAACTTTTGGCCTTGGACTCTAGAAGTCGATGATAAAATCACTTCAATTCTCAATCTTTTTCCCCTTCTCCCATCCATCTCTCTTTCTCTTTGTTAATTTCATACGGTAAAGAAAGAAAAAAATCAAATGTGTGTGTGTTAACTAAAACTTTCACACGTATTTATAAAATCACGTTACTTCGTCATACAATTTGATCGGAAATCGAGCAAAACCATTTCTAGAAGTGTATGCCGAGTTGTTTTTAGGGAGGACTGTACGTGCATAGAACAGAATGTGGCACTTACATATTGCCGGTGCATCGCATATGCGCGCACGTGAATATGCGATGGCTCTGACAAGATGGCCGACTTATAACTCATAAAGTCGGTCGGTCGGAGTACGCAAAGCGTCGTCTACGTCTACGTCGTCGTCGACGACGACAACGACGACGACGACTATGCCTCGCGATCGATGGATGCCTTTGAAATCGGCCCGCGTCATCATTTCCCGTTGGCTGTTAAGTGTACGTTCTACCTACGTACTTTACTTACGTTGCCTATAGATATAGTTTTTACATGTGTATAGATTTGTGCGTTGCACTGTTATCTCACTGTAGATTCATATCTCCAATAACTATTTCAATCATTTAGTAACGAATTTATAAATCAATTTGTTTTTTCTAACCTTACTCTTCCTTTTAATTTATTTTTGTTTTATTTTTTTTTGTTTATTAATTTAATTCATCAATTACGGATTATTTAATCGAATCGTTCTACACGCATATACACATACAAGTACTTAAAGATGTATTTTATTTATTTTTTTTTGTTAATTTAATTCTTCAATTACGGATTATTCAATCGAGTATTTGCATACACATATACACATACAAGTGCGTAAAGATATATTTTATTAATTTCGATGATATAATATATAGAGATTTTTATTTTGTTTTTCCGTCTTAAAGGTAGAAGTTAATTCATCTTTTCTCATTCCTTTGACAAATTAGGTAACCGCTTGAGAAACAAAGGATCCATACGATTAGCGGAATTCTATGTAAGTTCTGTAAAGTCTCGTGACCATCGAATTCTCAATTCGTGAGTCATCCCTGGCATCGTTCGAAGTCTCCCTCACTCAATATTCATACATTATATATGTTAACCTCGCGTCGATCTAAAGGGATCCTAACTCGAGCTTTACCATCGCGCGAGACTTCATTGTCGCTTAGAGTATAATACGTAAATAAACGTTTAGTTTTTTCTTTCTCTCATTCTCTTTTTTTTCGAGTTGGAGGTACAATTTGGTCTCTCTCTCTCTCTCTCTCTCTCTCACACACACACATTTCTTTCTTTTTTTCTCGTTGACTTTTTCTTTCTCTTTCTATTCGTTTCAATTAAGCTGTCTCGTTCTCGTTGCACCAATTCACGAAAAGTTAGGCCGTGAAATCGAATGGGCCACGCTTCGTCGAGTCTCGAAATTCGAAGCCTAAAGGCGCAGAAGCCTTCACGAGAATTCCCTCAAGATAAAGAGAGAGAAAAAAAGAGAGAGAATGTGTATAAGGTTTTAGAATCAGTGAACTCTTAGCGAAAACGAGTTGAAACATCAAAGAGAAAGAGTTGAGGGCAACGGTTGTTTAGTTCCTTTTTTCGAGACGCCACTCGTACTCGTTATTCGTACGTTATTACATATGTACGTCGACATCGTTTCTTCTTCTTCTTGGAACAAAAGATGAGAAGGAGAACGACGTATAGCTAACAACATCTCATCTCGCGTATTCGAGGATAATCAAACGAGCTAGAGAGCGAGCGTCGTGATTGATACCGAAAAATTTCACGTGATTTATCATGCGATCGCCGAAGCGGACACGACTTGGCGATACGTCTTGGTTGCTGTTTCTTCTCTTCTCGTAGAACAGAGATAAAAAAGAAAGAAAGAAATAAGGAAAAAAAAAAAGAACAAGATCAAGAAACAGAAGGAAGTAATATTCTTCTTCGTTTCGGAGAGAGAGAGATAGAGAGGGTTACTCGCCAAGTGTTATTACACGCGTTTCGAATACGCGTGCCAATAAACGTTGAAATGAAACAGAGAAACAAATGTCTTATGAAAGCCCATCGTTTCTTCCTTCTCGAAAACAAAACTAAAAAGAAAAAAAAGTAGAAAAATACTTCACCTAGGGACTTTTGTCTATTTTTTAACGTAGTTTCTTTTATATTTTATTTTTTTTTTTAAATCATGATTACAAGCTCATCTAATTGTTTCACAGGTTTGCCTTAGAAATGTGATATATACGTCTTAGCGTGTGTTATGTAGTAATGAAAAAGATAGGATAGATAGGATAGATAGGATAGATAGATAGATAGATAGATAGATAGATAGATAGATAGATAGATAGATAGATAGATAGATAGATAGATAGATAGATAGATAGATANTAGATAGATAGATAGATAGATAGATAGATAGATAGATAGATAGATAGATAGATAGATAGATAGATAGATAGATAGATAGATAGATAGATAGATAGATCGATAGATAGATAGATAGATGGATAGATAGATAGATAAGTAGATACAAAGATAGAAAGATGAAGAAAAGGGAAGAAAAGTTAAAAAAGAAAACAAAAATAGAAAAAAGTATAAGAAAAGAAAAGTAGAAAGAGAGGGTGAGGTCAATAGTCTGACGAGAAGGAAAGCAGAAAAGCCCCGTGCAACGCCGGAAGATGGGTTGTGCTCGATGTTGACTACGAATGAGAGAGAGAGAGAGAGAGAGAGAGAGAGAGAGAGTGAGTGAGTGAGAGAGTGAGTGAGTGAAGAAGGTACCGTCGCGATGCCTTCGTGAACCCATTAATCATTTCGCCCGGATAAAAGGCAAGCAAGGATGAAAAGAGAAGACGGACAGTCGGCTGGACGGCAAGCAAGCATGCAGGCTCCGGAGTAGAGGGGGATTCTCTCTCTCTCTCTGTCTTTCTTTCTTTCTCTTTCTATTTCTCTCTTTCTCTCATCTTTTTATCTCTCTTAAGAAGGATCATATTTTATTTTTTCCTTTTCGAAATTCGTCGGCCGCTTCGTTTCCATTGTCGTGTTTTTTGAAGAGAAAGAGAGAGAAAGATTCAGGGACGTATATCGTTCTTTATCATTCTCTCTTTCTCGCGAATGAGTAATCTTCGCACGTATGGATAAGAAAGAATAAAAGAAAGAGAGATTCATTAACTGATAGAAGGGGGTCGCTTTTTCAAAAAAAATGATATTATCTTCTGGTTGGTTCAAAACGAAGGAACCACAAACATTTTTTCTTTTCGTTCGTACTAGCCACCCGTTGAGAGAAAATAAAAACGAAAATTTTAAACGGGAATATCAAATTTTTATTAACGAAAAACAGCATGTATCATGGAAACACATTGTACAGAAATTTGTGACTTATCTTTCTTCAAAAATCTTGTCCTCTTAAATTTAACTTTATCGATGAAGATGAAGATAAATGGAAAGAAAATTGGACAGTACAAAAGTCAAACCGAGGATAACTAATAAATGACGACTTCAATATAAAAGCATTACATGATAATATACAAGATCAGGTGCAATTAATAAAATTCCTCATGTGGGACAGTATCCGTTACACCGATACACATTTACTAACAAATCAACCTCAATTCAGGGGTAATATAAATGAATATTCGAATTTAAATGAACTTAGAGACAAATATAAAATACATAATCAAATATAACGTATCTTATCATGGAACAAACATACTCGAAGATTAATAAAAGAAAAAATCAAATTGTAATAAGAAAAATAATTTCAACGATGTCAATAATAAGGTGATTTAAAATAAATGTAACAAAAATTATATATTCGAATATAGATTTATAGTAAAAATCGTTAATGAACGTGTACTGTAGAATGCGACTTTAAATAAATAAAAAGAAAATGACGAAACAGAGATGAGAATAATATGGTGATGGTGGTGGTGGTGATAGTGGTGATGGGGAGGGGGAATATTAGATTGAATCGAAGAGGAGAAACTTTAAGAAGAGAGATCTGCCGGATCAGACTAGGTAACGTGCGCTTTTATGCTTTTTCTTCCACGTGCAACCCCACTCGACACACGTATGAGAACGTAGTGTGGTGGTACACGGAGCACCACCGGTAGGTAGGTTCAACCTACCGATTGCGAGAACTACCAAGATTCTACCAGCAGTGAGATCGAAATCGGAGCTCTTTCTTCACAAACTGGACAAAGGCGCCTAGCCCTCGTTGGATGACGAGGGAGAGAGAGATAGAAAGAGAGAGAGAAAGAGGTGTCGGAGACCTTCGAGACTCAGCGACCTGTTGAATCGAGAGCAGCAAGCGTTGTGGATATTCTTCAACGAATTCTCCCTTCTTACGGAAGACGAAGGGTACCCTTTACATCCTAACAAAATATCTCAACCTTTTTTTCTTTTATTTTCTTCTGCTTCGTCTTATTTTTATTCTTATTCTTTTTCTTTTTTTTTCCTTTTTATTTTCCTTTTGAAAGAACCTCTTGCCTCAACTCGATTCGTTCTCCCCACTCTTTTACCATTCATTTCGAATTCATCATCTTTCGTTGAATTCAGATGCT